TGGTTAACTCTATATGTATATTATCTTATACTGTATAGCAGATTTAAATTATGTGGGTAGCACGTAATCGTGATTTTTAAAAGATATATATATATATATATATATATATATATATATATATATATATATATATATATATATATATATATATATATATATATATATATATTACAATTTATATGCACCATACATAACTAGACTCAACAAAAATATTCTGTGGATTAGTTAACGGGATTAGTTTTATTCTGGTCCAGGCTTTACACCTCACCAAACTATTTTCGCAAACAGAAAAAGCAAATTGTTATTATATAACAGTTATCTCTTAAATTTCGGGTGTGATGCCACAGGGGTGGCGACAAAAGTAATATCTAATCACTTGGCTTTCATTTTAAAAGCCATTAAACAGCTGTGACATCATCTTCACAAAATATTATTAAAACAAGCAGTACGTACGAGATAATTATTAAAGTAATTACATACTACTGTAATTAACATTTTTAACTTAAAGATGTGGCACCCCTTGCTGATTTATCTTAACACGCACATACACTAATACTCCTTCCGTATTTATCTTAACACGCACATACACTAATACGCCCATTTCGTGCATCATATCATAGCAAAGTCTTTCATCTCTTCACTAATACTCCTTCCCTATTAATCCGTTTTATATTAAGAGCATCTCCAACCCCACTGCATAATTTACTGCAAAATGGAATGAAAAATGGAGTGATAAATAAACAAAAAAGTAATTACTCCAAATATGGAATAATGAGATTTTTGTTTCTTCATTACTCCATTCTCCACTCCATTTTACAGTAAAATATGGAGTGGAGTTGGAGATACTCTAAGTGCTACTGTGATTTTAAAATTTATTTTATTTTAATTCTTATTTTTTATTTTTAATAAATATCTCTATCTCTGATTTATTCTTTTTTAGCTTATTAGTTAGAAATCAAATAAAATTATATACTCATTAAAAATATAATAAAAATTAATGATTTATAAACCATATATAAAATGAAACTGAAGGAGTTGGAAGGTTAAATCATGTAACTAAGGACTAAAACTGATGTTTCCAGAAAAGCAACATGTTTAGGACCTGCCGATGCAAACAAAGAATTCCAGCAAGATACACTTGGTCCTAAATCCTACTATAGATAAAAACAGAGAGACATTTCGTGCACGACATCAATAGTTTTCTTATAATTAGTAAACTGAGTATTTTTTTTCTATGTATATGAGAGAACTTATAACTTATTATAAATACAAGGATTCCAGCTGACTATGCTTTCTATGGAGATTAAAGTAAGAGACTATATATATAAAAAAATAAAGTAAGACAGTAAGACACTATAATATAGTTATGACCATTTAATTAAATCAGGTCTTGGATGCGGCGAGTCGGGGATCGACGATGAGGCAGGGGCGATGGCTCCTCAGATCATTGAGAGCCGTTTGATCCCCTACTATTTGGAGCAAACTGGCTTAACTGAAACCCATATTTCTCCTCTTTGCCTGACCCTTTGGAGATTATTCTATACATTAGTCGTTGTACTCTCCAGTGTATAATTTTAGATTTTATAACTGAGAAAACACGTGTATGTGTCTGGGTTGGAGGATTAATTTACTAATCTTGAAATTCTCAAAGTACATGTTGAAGTCGCAGGAACAACTGCGTACATTGTGACCAAAAAGAAGCTATGTTTATATGATTACTTTACAAGAGTTCTGCATTTATATAATCTATACCGCCCTAGATATCAAACACATCTAAAGTATTGTATAACGTTTTTGGTCGATAATCTGCTGTATAACAAGAAAATGCTGATTCTTTTTTCATTGATTTTGGACCAAATTTCACTTGCGGTTTAAAACGTTAATTATCATTTTAAAAGTGTATTAGAATGTCTTATATTATAATGAGATAATTCAACATTATTATGTAAAAGATACATATAAGCATTTTAATTTATTGTCAACTGGAAGTCAAAAATCTCATAAAACTTACAATATTAACAGTAATTCGTTGATTAATACAATTATACATACACTTTGAACATGTTGGAGTTTAATATGCGTATTACATGTGAAATGCTTAAGAAATTTTAAAATAAAATCATATTATAGTTTTGCTATAGAAAGTTAAGTTTATTAATTTTAAGATTATGATTTTTCGACAACATTTATATGAGAATTTGAACTCAGATGACAATATTAACACAAATCACAACAAATTATAGTTTTGGTTATACATGTTCAACTCAGAGGCGGACGCACATCCACCGGTACAGGTCACTTGACTCCAGTACGGGTCACTTTATCCCGTCTGATTTTTAATTTTCCTATAGTAATATGTAAAAATCTAAAGATTATTCAGTCTAGAAAATTATACAAAATGAAAAAGGGTCATGTGCCCCAAGTTAAATACAGCCTTACATCTGCCCCTGGTTCTTCTAATTTTAGGTGATGATTGTTGGTTTGGTTTTTAGATTTTAATTTTTAGTTTTTGGTTTTAATTTTGCAGTAAATTTTGGTTTTGGAAAAACTTGAATGGTAGTTTTAGATTTTGGTTTTTGCTTTAGAGATTAAAAATAAATTATTAATAGGAAAATATTCTTATGAAATCAATATAAACCAAAATATCATTAGTGCCACTAAAAGTAATTAAATTAATGAACAATTTAAGATAAAACAAAAATTAAAGTATTACTAATATAATTTCTGCATTTAAACATATTTAATTTTATATTTACATGAAAATACACAATAATTTAAATTTATAAAAAAAATTAAATAAAGTGTATATATATTTTAAAAATATAGTAATATCAATATATGGACTTTAAATTACATTTGCTTCAACATAACTAGTACTTATATATTTATGAAAATAATTTAGATAATATTATATTTTCATCTCAAATTTTATACATAGATTTATATAAATAAAATATTATTAAAATCAATAGTTAGATTTTAAGACTAATATAATGTTACACATAAAAATAATTCACAATTAACAATAAGCTTTTTTTTTTTTTTTTTTTGGGCAACTAGTAGTTTTATAAATCTAAACGGGTTCAGTACACAGTAGTAGAGGAGTAGAGTGCCGCTTTTGCAAGAGCATCAGCAGTAATATTGGTCTCTCTACCAATGAAAGAAACAAAGAAAAACATAAAAGAGGAGGATAGAAACTCGATATCCATGAGAACTCCATAAAGCTCCACCGGATACGACTTCGAGTTGATAGCTCTAACGAGCTCCTGAGAGTCGGATTTGAACCAGACGTTGAGAAGTGATTTGCACTTGGCATCCCGAATAGCTTCCCTCATCGCCAGTGCTTCCGCCATGAGGGGGACGAGACATATTCGACAGCCCGTGATGCCTCCGATGTACCTACATCATTAACATGAAAAACCCAGCCCAGTCCCGCCTTGTGATTCGCAGCCCAAGCAGCATCTGTATTGCACACAGTAACATCGGCCGACGAGGGGGGTAAGCTCGGGTATACGTGGTTACCTTGTGTATTAGGGATCACTTGTCCTTGTGCAAGGAGCCATTCTCTAGCGGCCGGGAGAATCTTCCATAGCGTTTCCTTTCCAGAACAAGGCCTGTTTTCAAATAACAGGTGATTACGCGCATTCCATAGTCCCCATAAAATCCAAGAGGATGGGTTATTAGTGAGACCCGTCGGTGGCAGGCTTCTGAGGGTCGACATGATCGTGAACGCATCATGGAGTGTAGAAGCCGTGGAAAAATCCGGTTGGCGTTGCAGGGGAGCAGCATCCCAAACCTGTTTCGCAAAGGCGCAGTGGAAGAAGAGGTGAAGCTCTGTTTCCGGTAGTAGGCAGTGTGGGCATGTTCCAGTTGTATCAATACCATGCTGTTGTAGGTTGCTTCCAAGGGCCAGAGCTCCACAGCAGAGTTTCCATAGAAATAATTTGAGCTTTGGAGAAGTGTCTTCTCTCCAAATAAGCCTCTTTTTCCCCTCCAGGAGAGGAAGTTTCCGGTGTGCCGGAGGTCGAAGAGATCATTACGTGCCATGAAATCTCGAAACGCTGTAAAGGACCTTTCTGGACGCTCTGAGCCTCCTGATTTTTCCGAGTTATCAAGGATCTCGTTGAAATCCCCAGTTAGTAGCCAAGGGCTTGATCTGTCCATAGCTAGATCAGAGATCGAGTCCCAGACCTCCTGTCTGCGAGAGACATCCGGCTCGCCATAGACGAAAGTAACGTGGAAATTGACTCCCTTGAACACAATAGAGGTATCAATGAGATTATGAGAGTGGGAAAGAATCGATATAGATACTTCTTGGGACCATAGGAGGGAAAGGCCACCACCCCCATGTCCGTGAGGGGAAACTAAGAAGTTGTTTTCCAAAGGAATAGCAGCCAGTTCATTCAAAACAAAAGAGTCAGAATTTTTAGTTTCCATGAGAAACAAAATATGTGGACATATGGATTTACACATATCCTTAATTCGCTGGACTGTTTCGGTGTTTCCTAGCCCGCAACAGTTCCAGCTTACAATCGCTAAGGAAGAACCCGAGCAAGGTGGTGAAAATCCACCACTGGAGCCGTCTCCGATGTTGCTTGGTTGTTCCTTCTCTCTTCCTCCGGTTCTTGCTGGTTTTGTTGGTGTGGTTGTTGTTGGTTGTCACCTTCCAGTTCTGCCTCTCTTTCAGAAGTATTTCGCTTTCTTCTCCGCCTCAAGGGAGTCATACTCTGACTGTCATTTGGTAAAGACCGAGTGGAGGGGGATCGCTGTGCTCGAGTCAAGTTGTGTTGCCGTAGGCTGGGGCCAAAGGGGCCTTTCAGCAAATGATGGGTGCGTCGAGGTCTTGGTGGACGTTTTGATCTTGAAGATTGGCGCGCAGAATGACTGTGGTTGGGTGAATTCCTTGTCTCATCCTGAGAGAAGACAATCTCCTGACCTGCTGTTTGTAGAAACCCCGGTTCAGGTTGAAAGCAGATAATTTGCAGTGCTGGTGAAAGCATTCATGCGGCTGTCGCTGCAGCATTCTCATTTGCAGCCACACGGGTAGCCGTTTCCTCTGTCAGACCCTGTACTTCGCTGTCAAGAACTCGTTGCATTCGGGCTTCTCGTTCCTTGGGGTCAGGGTGATTGGTATAACGATAAGTCGCATCTCGTAGCTCCTCCAAGATCATCTCTCTGCTACGTGATGGAGCGGGAGATTGGAAATCAGAGAGGTTCAAATTTCGCTCCAAGGGGGGTCTGTGCGGTAGAGGACCATGCAGGGGGTTAGCTGATTGTCCATGGTCTTGCTGAGTGGAGTCCCTTTCGACTGGCGCAGTAGAATTTAGGTCCTGAGCTCCTCCTAAGGTTGGTGTAGGATTAGCTTGGAGGGGTAGTCGAGTGTCAAAGAGACTCTCCCTGAGTGGGGCTCTGTGTCGTGTGTACGGTGGGGACCTGTGTGTAGGTTGCTCAGGAGGGTTGCTGGTCTCTCTCTCTAAGCTTTTCCTGATGCGCCGATGGTCGGTTTTCCTCTGGGGAGAGTAGTGATCTTTGCGACGCCATTCCTTGTCGCGGAAGTAAGGATTCCTTCTCTCTCGAGGGGATACCCTGATTCTATCAACTCTACTTGGTCCAGATTGTGGCAAAGAGTTCCTGGGGGGTCGGGGCTCTTTTCTCTGGTAGGTATCTTCACGCCCCGTCGCATAGGGGATAGTCCTTGGTGTGATCTTGTTCTTCAGAGGTTGAGTCAGGTTCAGCTTTTGTGAAATTCTTTCCCCAAAGGGATTGCCGTGTCTATCACGTCTCTGGGAGAACTGCAGAGTTGCAGGGGGTTCTGAAGGAGCAGGAGCGACTTTTGTGATGGGAGGTGAAGTGCGCAAGACCTGTGGTGGTTTGTTAGCACACAGCGGTGGAGGAGAAACCTGTTCTTGTAACAGGTTCTGAGTAACACCATCCTTAGCCCTAGCTTCTGCTTGTTTGATGACTCTGGAGGGACAGTCAATGTTGAGATGTGACAGGCGTTTACACAATGTGCAGTAGTTTTTTAAACCTTCGTATTCCAAAGTAACGAAGCTCTCTTCCCCGGAAGCAAATTCAATAACTGTCTCCATGATCAATGGGCTGAGACCATCCACAAAGACCCTCATTTTTGCTGAGGTTGCAGAGATATCATAAGTGTCTAAGTTGCCTAATTCATGACCAATCCCATAGATCATCTTCTGGTGCCAGAAATGTAGAGAGAGACCTTGGAGCTTAATCCAAAAGGGAATTTGTGATGGGAAGGAGGGGGAGATAATCGGTTCCCATCGTTGAAGAATAACCATCCAGTTATTGCAGTGGTATGGACAGTTGTTTAGGACTTCTTTGAGATCCTTTTCCGAAGAGAATCGAAATTGGAAGCAAGATTGACCTAGGTCCGAGCCTGAAACGGGGCCGTCGAGGATCCACCTTTTAGGGAGGCGCGAGATGACATCAGTTACTCGTTGTTCTTGAGGGTTTGTTAGACGTCCAATGAGTGTGAGGAGGTTTGCTTGGATTAGGGCCGATGTATCGAGGTCCGGGGCTCGAATCCGTCTGCATCCTTCTAAGGACGGAGGAGGTGCGGAGCTTTTACCCTTTTCTGCAGCTGTAAGTCGGCGTGACATGGTTGATTCTTCTTCCGGAGGAATATAGGTGTGACTTCTGAGTTTGCGGTTCCGAAGCTGACTGCCGGACGTAGTGAAGAGGAAGGGGGGTTGAGGCTAGAGGAGTTATGTCGACTCTAGGACACTGTTCCACTTCAGAGGGAGGGGACGCCAAAGTTGCAGACGGCGGAGAGGAAAGAAAAGGACCACAGGTAATGAGGAGGAGCCATAAGCCGGCGGTGAGGCGGTGGGTTTCCGGTGGGAAATCCCCGAAGGTGGTTTTGAAAATTTGAAAGCTTACCCAAAGTAGAGCAAAAACCAGACAGAAGGAGTGACAGAAGAGTGAGACCCAAAGAAATTACTAAACCGGGGAAAAAACTGGGTAGGCGAAAACCGTGGGTGAAGTCAAAAACCGGGTTTCAGGTCATCTCGAAAAGGGTGCCTGGGAGAGACAGTTTGTTTGTTTGAATCCCCAGTTATTTACTGTTATAATTAACAATAAGCTTTTGTAATAAACTGGGTTGCAATTATTTTTACTAAAAATGTTAAAAATAAAATTAAAAAATAATACCAAATATACAAATAAGAAAATGTTTTCACTAATATAAATTCTTTTTATTTTTAGAATTTAAATCTTCAATGATAGAGAAATTGTTTTATTGAGTCTTAATGATATAGAATAATTACTATTTCATTACTAAACTCTTTTAGTTATATTCTTCTATGTTAATACATAAATATAGGAATGTTAATATTTCAGCAAAAAGCAAAATAAAAATAAATAAATATAAGAAGTAATGTATAAGTCACGTATTATTGTTGGAAAAACCAAGAAAACATTGTTTTTTGGTTTTTATTAAGGTTTTCCTTAAACTTTAGAGAATTTATTTTTTAAAAATTTTGATTGGCAAAAAAATAGTTTCTAAAAAAATCAAAAGCCAAAAACTAGTTTAAAAGCTAAAAACAATCAACCTCTTAGTAAACTTCTTATTTGTGGTACGTTCTGGTAAAGTAAAAATATGTATCTCAAAATCTTTTGTTATCTATGTAGAAAAACGTGTTCATACACTTCAATCGTATATACTATCCAATGGATTATAAATTTCATTTGTAGATCTAAAATTAGTGTTCAGAGTAATCCAATATTGAATGGTTTCCAAAGCGGCTAGTTAATCTTCTTTATGCAAAAATAATTATCTATACTATTATTTGTGAAATGATTTTTTTTGTTTCTAAACTCTCACATTAAAAAAGTTAAAACAGTTATTAGTTTTAATAAATTTTATATATAATATATTATATAACTAACTAATTTTATATTAATAATATTATTTTGTAAAATAAGATAATTCTTATATATCATGTTTGCTATCTTGACATAATATTTTCTATTATAAAATTTAAAACAGAAATATTTTTTAATAATAAATACTAATTAAACAAAAAATTTTGTATAAAGATATTTTCTAAAATATTTCTAATATGTGAGTATTTTTGAAGTTTTAACACAATAAGTATATTTTTTTATGAAAACTTTGGTAGATATAAATAATTTGTAGTTTGATTTAAAAAATTTGAAAACATAAATACAACTTATCAATAAGTATTCGTCAGAAATTATGTTCGTATATACCGGCGAAACACATAGTTATAGCTCATCTAGTAAACTTGTCGTACAACACAAATTATAGTTCAAATTCAAAAGAGAAGTTACTATAACTATTTGTTGAAAGGGGGATTCCAAAGTTGATGTATTAATTCGGCCACAAGTTTAATAGAAATTTAATTGAAGAGCATCTCGCTTTCGGTCTTGTCCACATTTGCCAAAAACCCAAAATTGTAATCGTTACTCTGTAAACAATCTATTTCAAAATTTTAATTAAGATTTTTCTTCAACACACGAGTATCCCCCTACAATCACTTTTAAGCAATGCTTCAGTTTTAACACTCCCTATTCTTTTCTGTATTTGTTTCCACATGATATCCTCTCAAATTTCATATGTTACAACAAAATTAAGCTTTCCTTCTTCTTTATATTAGAATCCAATGCCTAGCTACCACACAAAGATACAATATCACATTTTTAAAAAATTAATAAAAAATGCTTTTATCAGCGATTTCAGTTTTCAAATATAAAAGCTAAGATCAAGTTTTGTTTTATCCAAAACATTTTTAATATGTATCATATCTCGTTTTACGAAACATATATGCACATATTATTTAAAGGTAGCTATTAACATCCTGATAAGTAATACTTTGAATGTCATTTAATATGAAAGCTGAAACTTTCTGAAAATCATGTTTTATTTAAAATGATGGTTGAAAGTTTGTGTACTAAAATTAAGAGGACGAAAGCTTGGGTGGAACATATACGATTCCTGAAACTATATGTGTAGTTTATGGATGTATCTTAATTATATATATAAATGATTAGTGGTTAATTATTTAAAATAAAATTCCATGCTAGTGCTCACATGGCTACTTTTATCTCCCAAAATTATTCACAAAGGCTAGCTAACCCAATCAAGGGATGGGGGCATTGCACCATGATTAGGCTGTCTTCTTCTAAACTCTTCATTAAATATAGATTTGTGACATTTAAAATAGTGTAAGGAATTTTTCCGAAAAAGATAGTAGAAATATACTTTTAAATTTCATATTATGATTACACTATATAGCATTAAAGATGAAAAGTAAGTATCATTGTAATTTATTTAAAATAGGTTTGCTATAATTAATTAGTGTGAACTGTTATCATAGAAAACACAATTTGATCAGCTAGTGAAAAAACCTATTTCACTATCTTCTTCCATGAATTGGACTCACATGAACTCCATTTGAAAGCATGGAATTAGCTTTCTAAAAGCATTACAGCTTAAAATTTATATATATATATATATATATATATATATATATATATATCATAGTTAAATGCGAATCGTGAAAAAAAACTGACACAAAGCTGCCGCATCTCTCTCGCACTCGACTGTACACAACAAACACACAACTGTATCGCCGGTTTTCCGGTCTACGTTTTCGTCAGTGATCACCTTATTTGGTGAAGAAACATTTTTGGTTCATCTCGATCCAGTTCCTTCTTCAATGATGAGATCAATGCTTGTCCTTTTTATCAATTGGGTGATGTTTTGGATGTTTGTTTGTTTGTTTGATCTTATGATTGTCTGATGTGGTTATGAAAAATCCATAAAAGGTCCACACACAATGCTCCATGTATGTCATTTATGGAAATCTTATTGGTACGTGAAACCAGTTTTGTTTCTTCTTTCTCTTGCCATTGGTCTAATGGCATTGTAATGTCTCTAATACTTTAGAGTTTGTTTCCAGTGAGTTATTCCTCTGCCAGCAGAATTTTGATTAGTAACCGGTGTTTATCTCCTTGTCACATGGTTTGAAGGTTACACTTGGGTTTTTTCTTTTTAGACTTGGGTTTTTGATCCTGGAATCACTAGAAAAAGTTATCTTACCAAACATAGGAGAATTAATGGTAGATTCATTAATGAGAGTATGTATATCCAAAACGAAGAGATATGCATGAAAAGAATGAAGGTTTCCATCAAAAATAAATTTTGATATTTGCTATTTGGTATCGCCTCTGTGGAATATTTAGAATCATTTTGTAAAATGAGTAGTTGTCTGATGATGTGTCTTGAATTTTTTTCGAATATCCACATCCAGCCAAAGTTAAAGATGAAGGAGTAATATAGTAGATTTCATACGTTGTCAATAATACTTTCATCAATAAATACTTCACTTTTTCGTTGATGTTTCAATTTCCATATGTCAATGTAATGGTTTATTCCAAACTGATCTTGTGGAAACATATTTGTGTATTTGGTCTAGTGGTTTGATTAAAAGTTTATTAATGCTTCTACATTAGAAGATTTGAGTTTCGATCCTAGAAAAGATAGAATTATGCAAATTAATAGAGAAAAAGTTAACAAACGATCTGCAACATAGCGAAAGGAGTACACTAAGCATGAATCTCATAGGGCAAGTGGTGCAATCAGATTTGATTCCTCATAAAAATAGGTAGAATTTTCGGATGTATAATCGTCAATAATATTTCTCATAATTTGTAATATCATAATTATCTAATGTTTAAAAAATATTATAATGATCAACGTAGAGTAAAAACTCTAATAAATAATAATGTTATACTATGATGTTTTATTAATTTATAGATTTATTAATTTATAAATAGTTTCTTTTTTATAAAATCTGTTTTGAAATATATTTTTTTCTAAAATAAAAAAAATTTTAATTTTAGTGTATATACATTAATTAAAATTTGAAATTCAATATTCAGATTTATTATATTATTTGGTATTCATAAAATATGTTGCATAATATTTAAATGTGGTTTCAGATATAATTTTATTAAATCTTATGAAAATATATTAAATGTAAAGAAAATATAAAGATAATTCTATTATGAATATAAAACTCAACAATATAATGGTTTGTTTGTACTTATATGAAATGTATCTACATAGAAATTATATAAATGATTAATTTAATATTAATGTGACCATATATTAAATTTTCTGAAAAGTTATTAGCTTATTATTTATGATTTGTTTTATATCTTGAACTGACCTAACTTGGAACCAGAAAATAATATTAATTTATGGTATTTATTAATTTATCGATTATTAATATAAAGTTTCTTATTTATTGTAAAATGTGATATATATATATATATATATATATATATGATCATTGTTTAACCTTTTTGTACTAAAATCAATATACAACTCAAAGTTACAGAAGAAGAGCGACGATTTCACATCCTTGTATAAATCCATGTGTATACACATATATTTCACATATAAAGAGACTTAAATAAACCCCCATGTGAACTTCAGAAACCAAAGTAAAAAGAGAGGAATAAAGAGCCATTGTTTATGCAAAGGGGCAATTAAGAAAATTTCAAAATATTAACAAATAAACAATTGAAACTAGGGCTGAGGTCACAGAGCGATTATTGTTTTAATTATAAGTTAAAGAAAGAATCTTGAAGGTCAAATTATTAATGGAAGCCTGTTAGACATTGTCTTCTGCAAGAATCTTTCTACCTCTTTGATTGATGATACAGATGAAAGTTTAACCCATGATACAGAACAGCTTACGTAATCATAATTTATTATATTCTAAATAATACAAACTACATATAATTATGAGAACAAACATCTCAGCTATTACAAAACCACAACTTCAACTTCCCCTTTTCATCTCTTTCTCGATTCTCATATATTTCTTTTGCAGAAGAAAACAGAGAAACAAAAGATCTTTATTTCCTTTCTTTTTTTTAACTGCAGGTGGGTTTTCTATCTAAATTTAAGTGTGAAATTTAAGAACAGTAGAGAGAGATCTTATTGGATGGTATAAATCGGGTCCACTTTGTCTTGGGAAAGATTCTGCACGCCCACATGGTGAGATTAAAATAGTATAATAGTACCCTTCTTCACCTACTTGTGTCCAGAAAGAAGTGGAGATGATACTATCATCTAATCGGGAAAAATAATTTTTCTCAGCTTTTTTTTTTTTTTTGGTTTTTCCTCAGAATCTTTTCATCACTAATACGTGTTGTGTACGAATAAACAGAGACAAAACAACCTCTTTGTAACTGAAATCTGATGAAACTAAATCTTTTGTTTTCTGTCAGATTATTTACTTTTTGTGAGTGTTGAAACTCAAAGTCAACTTCTCTCTCTATTTCATGAAATTCTCTCTACTTGCTCAAAGAATCTTGACAAAAGTAAGTTACTAACTATTTATTGGTTTCTGTCGGATTATGTCATGGAGCATCAAAATATTTGTTTTTGTTCTATGGAAACTGATGTCATGGAGCATTAGATTCTTAATTTTTAATCCATCATCTTTCTTTTATGTGGCATTTACTGTCCGCTAGAAGTTTCCTTAAATTGTCTTTTAAAGGTACTCAGTAATTAGCCCCCCTTGGAGTTTCATTTCCATTAGTACGTATTGTACTTGAAGCTCATGTTAGTACATTGATATCAAGTCAACTTTATATATTTTATTATAGCCACTCTCTTTGGTTTCATAATCTCTTTAAAGTAAATGCACCTTTGATCTTGCAGTTGACAAAAACTGAGATTTGCTCTTACATTCTCTTGTTCTTGCTGGGGTTTTGATCATGTTTGTTTCTGCAACCTTCAATTGCAGATAAGTTATATAAACACCGAGGTAAGGAACCTTAAAGGGACCTCAGGGAAGCTTGTTCTTCCCGGTTCATGAACAACAAGTCCTTGATAAAAGATTGAGTTGAGGAAAAAAAAAAGAAGCTAGTTTTTATTTATATGGAAGGTGGTGGTGGTGGTGGAGGAGATGGCAGTTTCTTACCTAATTCTAGCTTTAGTGCATTCCCTGAGACGGCTATGGATATGGATCTCATGGAAGAACTCTTATTTGATGGATGCTGGCTTGAGACAACAGGTGGTAAGAGCTTGAAACAGACAACAGGACAACCAGCTCCTAGTTCTACCAACATGACTGGCCACAACAACTCTTTCCATTACGGTTATGAATTTGCTGAGAATCCATCCCAGGATCATATCTCCAACGAAGAGACAAGAAGAAAGTTTCCTCCAATAACACCAGGTTTTCTCAAGAACAAAAATCTCACCAATCAGCCGATGAATCAAGTACCTTTTGAGCAGTCTGCAGCTATGAGTTCTACACAAGCAGAGAAGTTTGTCCTTGAAGAAAATGAGGGAGGTCGAAGATGGTGGATTGCTCCAAGAGCAAGCCAAGGTCCTTCTTCATCGGTGAAAGATAGACTGGTACAAGCTATCAAGGGTCTTAAGGTGCAGGATAAAGACTTTCTTATACAGATATGGGTGCCAATTCAACAAGAAGGCAAGAACTTCCTCACCACTTTGGAGCAGCCACACTTCTTCAACCCCAAATACTCAAGTCTTAAAAGATACAGAGATGTCTCTGTGTCTTACAACTTCTTAGCTGATGAGGGATCCAAGGAGTCTGTAGGCCTCCCTGGCCGTGTCTTCCTTGGGAAGTTACCTGAATGGACACCTGATGTCAGGTTCTTCAGAAGTGAAGAGTATCCACGCATCAAAGAAGCGCAGAAATGCGATGTTCGTGGTTCATTAGCCCTTCCTGTGTTTGAAAGTGGTAGTGGGACTTGTTTAGGTGTTGTTGAGATTGTCACAACAACTCAAAAGATGAATTACAAGCCAGAACTTGAGAATATCTGTAAAGCTCTAGAGGTTCTTTTCCACTCTTTAGTCCCACATTCTTGAGTATTGTATAGTCTAAAGAGTTTGTTGTGTGTTTTGTAGGCTGTTAATCTAAGAAGCTCAGCTAACTCGAAATCTCCAAGGAAAGAGGTGTGTCTATTAAACCAAATCATTTTTAAGACATATTTTTTTTCTTTTTTGATCAACCATTTTTAAGACATATACAAACAATGACTTATGTTGCTTAAATGTTATATATGGTCTATGTTTCAGTTTCAGCAGGTCTATAATCAGTTCTACTCAGCCATATTACCTGAGGTGACAGATTTTTTAACATGGATCTGCAGATCATATGATCTGCCTCTAGCTCTAACATGGGCACCGTGTGTTCGACAAGGCAAAGATGGACCCCGACACTCTGATGAGAACTTCTCTGAGTGTGTTTCAACTATAGATTCAGCTTGCTTTGTCCTTGATGAACAGAGTCATCATTTTCTTGAGGCATGCTCTGAGCACCATCTGCTTCAAGGGGAAGGCATCGTTGGAAAAGCATTCAAAGCGACCAAACTGTTCTTTGTGCCTGAAGTAACCACTTTTAGCAAGACAAACTATCCTCTTGCACACCATGCTAACATCTCTGGTCTACATGCAGCTTTAGCAGTCCCTTTGAAAAACAAATTCAATGGTTCGGTTGAGTTTGTGTTGGAGTTTTTCTTTCCTAAATCTTGCCTTGACACTGAAGCGCAACAAGAGATGCTCAAGTCACTTTCTGTGACACTGCAACAGGACTTCAGGAGCTTAAATCTTGTCATTGATAAAGAGCTAGAGCTTGAAGTGGTGTTTCCTGTTAGAGAGGAGTTGCTTTTCCAAGAGAAGCCACTTATTGATGCAGAGACAGGAGAGAATCTTAAACCTTTGGAAGATATCTCTCAGGAAGATTCTTCATGGATCTCTCACATGATAAAAGCCAATGAGAAGGGTAAAGGAGTGTCTCTTTCATGGGAGTACCAGAAAGAAGAGCCTAAAGAAGAGTTCATGCTGACAACAGGCTGGGACAACAATCAGATTGGGAGTGGCCATAGTAACTTTCTTTCAGATTCTGAGAAGTTTCACAAGGCTTCAAACTTAGGATTCAGACCAGGTGAAAAGAGAAGAACAAAGACAGAAAAGACAATTGGTTTAGAAGTTCTTAGACAATACTTTGCAGGAAGCCTCAAAGATGCAGCCAAAAACATTGGTGGTATGAAAACTTCTGTTATTAATTATGTCTACTTTATCCACTTCTCAGACAGTGATGAGATCATTCTTATGTTGCAGTTTGTCCAACTACACTGAAAAGAATATGCAGGCAACATGGAATAACAAGATGGCCTTCACGGAAGATCAAGAAAGTGGGACACTCGTTAAAGAAACTCCAGCTTGTGATAGATTCTGTTCAAGGTGTTCAAGGCTCTATCCAACTTGATTCATTCTACACAAGCTTCCCAGAACTAAGCTCCCCGAATGTATCAGCTGGTACTTCCTTCAAGAACAATGACCAGTCAAGACATTTGAATGCTCAAACCGAGACCGGTGTTTCACCACCATCATCATCTTGTAGCCATAGCTCTGGTTCAAGCACATGCTGCTCAACTGGAGCTAACCAAAGCACCAATACTGCAAATACTTCAAACGCCGTGACCGCTCTGATGGCTGAAAACGCTAGTGCTATCTTGAAGAGAGCTCGTAGCGAGGTAAGACTTCGTACTGTGAATCAGGAGGAAACAAAGTCTCTCTCTAGAGCCCTGAGCCACAAAACATTCAGCGAGCATCCTCTTCTAGACAATCTACCTCGGTTACCAAAGAGTCATAGCAAACCTGAAGGCGCATCTAAAGTAAAAGCCACGTTTGGTGACGCGAAAGTGCGGTTTACTTTGCTTCCAACCTCCGGGTTCAGAGAGTTGCAGCAAGAGATTTCTAAGCGTTTTAACATAGACAATAACATTGCACCATTTGATCTTAAATACTTGGATGATGACAAGGAGTGGGTTCTTTTGACGTGTGAAGCGGATCTTGAGGAATGTATAGACATTTATAGATCATCACAGAGCTGCACCATCAAGATCAGTGTTCATGAACCTTCTCAAGCCAAGCTGAGAAGCTCTTTTGGTAGCAACGGTCCTGGTCCTTCTTTATAAGCAACCAGGTAACACAAGGAGAATCTTGTACTAATTTACTAATGTGTTAGAAACAAAACATAACTCACTCTCTTTTTATATAGACCAGACATTGTCTGTAAACATACTTTCAGTACCCTGGATCATACCATTTTTCAAGTAGTAGTAGTGGACTGGTTCTCTGCATCGGCCTAGTAAGATTTTTTTTTTATATAATAAGGCGATTGCATACTTGGAACATGCTTATGTGTATTTTATTTTCGGTACATCATTTGTCATCTGAATTCTACTAAGCCCTGCAAGTATGTATGTCGTATTGATATATTTTATATCTACTTCTTTTTTTAGTTACTAAAACACATGAAAACATTAGTCATGGGAAGAAAATCTGGAAACATTTCTAGTTATATTAGAGCAGACTCCTATTCGTGAGTTGCTTAGTTTATCCGGAGACTCTCGTCTTTAAGAAACTAAACTCAACATTCGAAGTCCACAGTCATTCTAGCGATCAAAATCTAAAAACGTTTGAGTCCAGTCCCAGAGGAGCCATGTGAAGAAAAAATATGGGGAACATAACATGTCAACTTCTATAAAAACACGAATTTGAAAGTAAAAAACAGGTTGACTTGTACTAGAGATAGGAACTTGGAAGATCACTAATACAAGTAAACATGTTACAAGAAATGGTTTGAAGAGATCATCACTTATCTATCTCTTGGAACCATTTCTTCTTTAAAGAAACAACTAGACTACAGACAAAAAGATACAAGAAAACATTGATGATTGATTATGAACATAACATATCACCACTTCTAAGAGACACGTATGCTATTATATTTCATATATGTTATATTTCTAAGCACAATCTGTTTTCGGTATGTCTAGTCATGTACTCACTTTCTTACAAGTTATATATCTTGTACATGATAATGGAAATGATCATCAAGAAGCTATGCAAATCCAAAAAGAATTAGACCAAGCACCTTATTGCTACGTTTAGTAGTAAAACAAAAGCTCAAACCGCAGCAAAGTCCTTGGATTAACTTAAACAGTAATGATTGTTAGTTTTGATAGTGAACTTGTAAGATTTATACTCATCATGAGCAAATAGGGAGATTGTTAACAGGGGTGGATCTAACAAGCATTACAACATGAGGCACACTATAATAAATAACAAAAAATTCAACCAAAAGAGCATGCGGCATTTGAGTTCCTCAATTTTCAAAATAACTAATGAAAATTTTAAATTTTGTATGTGGCACTTCCCCACCTAGTGCTCAACCTTAGGTCCGCCCTAACTGAGTTTACAGATTTTGGGGAAAGTATGTAAATACACGAAGTGTGGTCAACTTTGTTTTTTTGTCAACTATTTCAGATTAATGAGGGGAATGTTTTATAGGAATAAAAAAAAATTGGGGCTAATTGCATAAATATCTGAAATGATGATTTTGCAGATAATAACCTATCAAATTTATTATGGGAATATAGTAAGTAATGAGGTTAAAAGAATTTGACAAAAAAAAGAAAAGATTTAGTGAGGGCAAATGTGTAAATATGTTAAATTATATAAATAACAAGACTTGTTCGTCTGCCTCTAGCTCCCAAAGGCCATCATCATCATCTTCACTTGCGATCCTCAATTTCCCCAGATTCAAACTCAAAACATGTCTCGCCGATCACTAACCCTCCTCAAAAGCCTCGCGAAAACCCAAACCCGATCCGTGACGTACATGCCCCGACCAGGAGACGGAGCCCCACGCGCCGTAACACTAATCCCGGGGGACGGAATCGGGCCTCTGGTGACCAACGCGGTGGAACAGGTGATGGAAGCGATGCACGCGCCGATATACTTCGAGAAGTACGAGGTGACGGGAGAGATGAGGCGAGTGCCAGGGGAAGTGATGGAGTCGATAAAGAAGAACAAGGTGTGCCTGAAAGGAGGGCTGAAGACGCCAGTGGGAGGAGGGGTGAGCTCGTTGAACGTGCAGCTGAGGAAGGAGCTTGATCTGTTTGCGTCTCTGGTTAACTGTTTTAACTTGCCTGGCTTGCCTACCAGGCATGAGAATGTCGATATTGTGGTCATTAGGGAGAATACGGAAGGCGAGTATGCCGGCTTGGAGCATGAGGTTGTTCCTGGTGTTGTTGAGAGTCTTAAGGTTGGTTTAATTGTTAAAAGTTTGGGGGGGGGGGGGGTTTGAAGCTGCTCTGATTTGAACTTTATGGAATTTTGGCTTAGGATGTTGTGGAGTCTTGAGGTTGGTTTGGGCGTTAAAAGTTTCGATTTTGAGGCAGCCTGCCCATATTTGAAATTTATAGAACCTTAGCTTAGGGTGTTGTGGAGGGTCTTAAGGCTGGTTTTTGAGGATTTTGAAGTTTTGGTTTTTTCATGATTTGAATTTGTGGAATTTTAGGGTTTAGGGTGTTGTGGAGAGTGTTTAGGTGGTAGAAAGTTTGGATCTTTATGCTTTTTTATGTTATGGGTTTAAGTGTAACATGGAAGCAGCATTGAATGTATGGAATCTTAGCTTAGCTTAGAAAGAATGGTTTGGCATGTTCTTTAGCTTAGTGTGTTGTCGAGAGTCTTAAGGTTATAAAAAGTTTTGATCTTTCTGTGGAATCTTGGCTTAGAGCATCTCCAAAGCTCTATATTTTCCTCTATAATAGAGTAAATCTATTGTAGTGGTGGATTTGTTCCAAATGGTATGCCTCTGTAATACAGTAGAATATAGAGTAAAAATGAAACTTTCCTATCGATATAGAGGAGCAAATCCACTTCTATTATAGATTTACTCTATTTTAGAGGAAAATATAGAGGTGAAAATAGAGTTGCACTGGAGATGGTCTTAGGGTGATATGATATCGATAGGGAAGCTTGATTTTGACTAGGTGGATGTGATGTGATGGAGTTATGCTTGTTTCTTGGATCTGATGCTATGATTGCTGTCTTTGTTAGGTGATCACGAAGTTTTGCTCAGAGCGTATAGCAAAGTATGCTTTTGAGTATGCTTACCTGAACAATAGGAAGAAAGTGACAGCAGTGCACAAGGCTAACATCATGAAGCTTGCTGATGGTTTGTTCTTGGAGTCTTGTCGAGAGGTTGCTAAAAAGTATCCAGGGATCACCTACAATGAGATTATTGTTGATAACTGCTGCATGCAACTTGTAGCCAAACCAGAGCAGTTCGATGTCATGGTATGTTTCAAAAATCTTGAAAATTCATGTTAACATATCCATTCGCACTTCATGTATTATCTTTGTTACTACTCGTTGATGGTTTATGTAATTAAATGTTTTGCAGGTAACACCCAATCTCTATGGTAACTTAGTTGCAAACACTGCTGCTGGTATTGCTGGAGGCACCGGAGTCATGCCTGGAGGTAAAATTAGCATGTTTCATTAATACTCTCAATTACCCTCTCGAGATACAGCACTGGAACAGTTTCTGAAACTTGTATAATATGAACAGGAAACGTTGGGGCTGACCATGCGGTGTTTGAGCAAGGTGCATCTGCAGGAAACGTCGGGAAAGACTCGATAGTAAGGGAAAACAAAGCAAACCCAGTGGCGTTGCTTCTCTCATCAGCCATGATGCTTAGACACCTTCAGTTTCCTTCATTTGCTGACCGGCTTGAAACAGCAGTGAAGAGAGTGATCTCTGAAGGAAAGTGCCGGACTAAAGATCTTGGTGGACAGAGTACTACCCAAGAGGTCGTTGACGCAGTCATTGCAAAGCTGGAGTGACTTGTGACAATATACTTTATCCCTCTCTCTCTCGCTCTGCATAAATCATCAAGTTCTTGCTACAGATTCTCTGTTGACAAAGTATATGGGTATGATCCACGGTGTCTGGTTTTGTACCTCTGAGTTTTCATACATTCTTTTAGACGTAACTTCGTCGAAAACTTTCAATCAGATTTTGTTATTCCCAAATAAATCCATGTTGCAATACAAAAGTGAGTTTTGTCTATTGGGAGCATTGAACCAATGAATATAGGAATTAAAAGAACATGGGGGGGGCATGAGTTCGTTTTATCTATTGGAAAAATGAAACAACATGATATGATCTCCTCTCTTCCAATTTGGCCAGGATCGATTCTCCAAAACTCTGTTGCCTGTGAATTCAAAGAAAGAATTTTGGTAAACAATAAATGCTATATGAATCTAAAACATATGATTTTAAAATTTAACATCGCATACCATTTCAAAACATCAAAACTATGTCAAATCAGCACTAGAAATAATTTAATATACTAGATCTCGATGCTGCAACCGTGCGGATGTTTATATTCATTTATTTTTATAAAAATATTTTGTTTTCATTTTTGTTAGATAATTTGTTTTCACTTCTAAATTCATATATATATATATGAAGTGTGTATATCAATTTTTAAAAGATAAATTTTTTTTATCATATATTAGTTTTTCATCGAATAAATTGTTTTAAACCTTTTCATGTATTTGTATCTATCTTCTTCTATATATATTGTTTTGGATTATTATTTCATTATTAAAGAATGTAAATATTGGTAAAATATTATTTTACTCTCATCTTTAAAGATATTGTAACATTTCTCAAATTTAGAAAGTTCAACAAAAATAAAATTTTTAGCTTCATATTATGGAAAAAATAATTAAAAATTTAGTTTTTGTTATTTTTAAAAATAAACTATATAACTTAAAAATGTTTTCATTGGTTTAAGGTTGTATAGATTAATTATTGTTAGAAAATAATGATTTTTGTTATTTGAAAAAATAACATAATTTTAAAAGTGAGAAAAATGATTAGAATAGCACTAAAAAAAGTTTTTGTCCCAAATATATCACTTAAGAATAAAAATGACCAAAATAGCACTTAATCTTTTAACAAAAGAGATAAATATACACCTATATCCAAATGATAAATTAATTTAGACATTAGGATTTAGAGTTGAGGGGTGGGAATTAGGGTTTAGAGTTTATGGTTTATAATTTAGGTTTTAGGGTTTAGAGCTGGGGAATGGGGTTTTGGGGATAAGATTTCAATTTTGAAAAATAAAAATAAAATTAAAATTTTCAAAAGATAAAATGCTATTTTGGTTATTTTAGTTTTTGAGAGTTATTTTTGTGACACAAACTTAAAAATGTGATATTTTAGAGATTTGCTCTTTAAAAGTTAACATCAACAATATATAAATAATTAACTTATGAAGGTAAATTATTACAACACTAAATTATAT